TTATACTTAAGTCTATTATTTCAGTAAATGAGTATAATAATTCAAGTATAATAATTATGCATTTTGTGATAAAAGCATGAAGTTTGTACCATTATTGATACGTTATATTGACTTAGTTTTAAAATATTTGGACACTTTATAATTATTATCAAATGTATAAAGCTTTAATAAACAATAATTAATAATAACGGGTACACTAACTTTCAATCGCTCTCCCACATAAATCACTGAAACATTATTTTTCAGATTGCGACGCACCCCCCCCCCNCATTATTTTTCAGATTGCGACCCCCCCCCCCCCCCTACATATTCTCAAAGTCTAAAATTATTGTCAACAACAACAAAAAAAAAGATAAAAATTTCTGTTTATACAAAGAAAGTATGTTTTTATGTTTCATTTTGTACCTTAGAATATTATCTATACTAATTAATTACGATATTTAAGGCTAAACTGTAAAAAATTCTGGATCAAATAACGGTAAAAAAAATTATAGCTCTCTGAGTGCCGGTACTTTTGACCGTAAAATCCATTTTAACTGTTAAGAAACAAAAAATTTGATATACCGTAATTTTTACAGTAACGATAACCGTAAAACCATCTGAACTACTCTAACTGAATATTACTGTGAAAATCATGGTGTTATATTTTACGGTAAAAATGAATTTTACTGATAATACAACCAAAATAACGGTACTTAATACCGCAATTTGATCCGGAATTTCTTACAGTGGAAGAACTTTGTAGAAACTCGCAAAATCCAGCAATTTCTATTGGATTTCTATTCAGCAATGTATACGTTTCGTATAAAGTATAGAAATTGATAATTGTAGAAAATTGAAGTTTATTTTACTCTATTAATTTTTGGATTTACGTTTTTAAAAACTGTCAATTTAAACTGAGATATGCATTTAATTTTCGTAAAATAGTTTAAAATTTATAAAAACGAACAAGCTGTTGCTTACAAATTACAATCACTACTATCACGAAAATATATCTAGAATAACGAAACTAATCTAAAATAACGAAACTAACGATTTTAACTATATCTAAAGCAACGAAATAAACAGAAAGAGAGATATTTTTAACTCCTTTGTTGATGGCATTTCGCATGAGAAAATCTAAATTGATTAATTCATAACCAGGAGAAAGAAAAAGTATAAAAATGCTCGGATATGTCCCTATAAAATAGTCATAACATTAACTAAAACCACAGAAGGAATCGCATAAAATTGTATTGCTTTGAAAAATAGACAATGAAATAATATAATCATTGACTAAACCTAATTATCTAGCATCCAAAAAACATCACCAATCATAACTCAATGTATTTCGATTATTAGTTATTCTGCAGACCAAACAGACAAAATAAGTAAAAAATTTATATTATCAAAGAATACGATGAGCAAACCCATAAGGAAAACAATTGCAGAAACAGCAAGTTCCGTTAATCTTGAAGTCAAGGACCGTTGTAGGAAAAATATCATTGAACAATACAATGTTGCTGTATGTGATAACATAGCTTGTTATCATATTACACGATGATATATTGCTGTATATGATGTTAATTAAATTTTATCTATTTATATTATATCAGAATCATAATAAAACAAAAACTATTCCCTTAGGAAACACTTAGAAATTAACTTTTAATACACTATCTCATTTCCACTATTGTTATTCTAGAGAACTTGCTCCCCTTGATTTAAGGCGATCTTGAACTTAATTATACCCCTTAACGACAGCTTTAACCGTTGATAATAGCTTTTAAGATAATGTAGCGGTAGCTTTTATGACATCATTTTTAAATAATGCCATAGCTATAAATTTTTATGCAAAATTTACTGCTTAAATTTTGCTGCACTTTTACCGGCGGGAATTATTTTGCTGCATCGTTTTGCATTAAAGGTATACAGGGCAAAATTTTTAAAAAAAATCACTTAAATAATATTTGATCTAGTGACCAGATTGTCACGTTCTAATATACAACCTTAAGGCTACATTGTAAAACATTCATAATCAAATTACGGTAAAAAGTACCGGCATTCAGGTGCGAGTGCTTTTTACCGTTTAATTCATTTTTATCAAAACATGTTACGGAAAAAAATTAGATATATCTTAATTTTTACAGAATTATTTGCTGTAAAATCACTGAATCACTCTAATTTAAATATTACTGTAAAAATTGCGGCAATTTGTTTTTATGGTAAAAATGGATATTGCGCTAAAATGAATTTTAGAGATCACACACCCAAAGTGCCGGTACTTTGTTTCGCAATTTGATCTAGAGTGTTTTACAGTATACGTCAGCTCAACTTATATATGTTGCCGGTAAAGCTCAAACACCGATAATATGCTTACCTAGCTAATCTGCAGGTAGGCGAGATCCGTTAAAGTGCCGAATCAAGGGTTTTTCATATTTAACGCAAGTTGTTGGCCCGTTAACTGTTTCCGTGTCGTGAAAATTCAAAAGTTTCTTTCTTTCTGTCAACTAATGTGTAGATTGTGTGATTTATTTATTAATTATCCCTTAGATATTAAAAAATACTGATTAAATAATTATGTTAATTTCCTTAGTTACATTATTTTAAACAGTTTGATTCGTTGCATAATGGTTTTAAAGTGATTGATGATTGAATCTATCAGCAAAGGTGTTGATTGTTTGATAGTATTAACGGTAGTAACTTGATTTTTTAGTTAGCAAAAAATAAATAAATAACATATTAATATAAACGTACAGAAACGTTGTTTCAGCAAACATCTTAGTTTCACTTTAACGAATGCCTAATGCGCAAATTATCTATGCACTTAGCAGATTATCTATCTATAAGTAGTTTGAGAAATGAAAAAAAATTTTATCACTTAAACGAATCACCCTAGTTAATCTATCTGTAAAAGATTTCAACATTTTAACCCTAAAATATATGCTAATTCAGCTGTTCCCAAACAGTGTTCCGCGTAACCCTGGGGTTCAGTGGAAGGTTCGCAAGGTTTCCTAGAGTTTAAAATCATTAACGATTTTTGAAAATTTTAATTAGATTTATATTAAAACAATAAACCATAACTTCTTTGATAGTTTCTCCATTTTGATATTATTTAATTAAAATACTTCTTTAAAAAAAAGATAAGTGGCATAATTTGTAAAAAACCGCATTAGTATTTTTCGTCGAACTCAAAACAAACAGACCGAATTCAAGAATAACGAATTATGTATGTTTCTCTGTTCACTATTCTCAATGTCTATTAGAGTTCTTTGTCAAAAACTATAATACAGCTTATTTTATTCATTTTTAGCGAATGTATGCACTAAAACATATTCAGAGAACTAGACTAAATACCACCCCATTCCTGCGAATGCAACTGTTTAAAATAAAACCTATTACTTTAAGAACGATTATTGAAAAAAAAATTCAGTCTTCACTTTAAATATAATTGATCTGTGGTAGCTCAGGGGTAGAACGCCCGCCTTCCAATAAGGTGAAACGGGCTCGAATCCCAGCGATGGCTGGTAGATACGAATTTCACCACCCTGCTCGCACGGACCACAGAGCTGACGTAAAAATATCCTAAGAGATGGACGAATCATTAGGTCCCCTTGCCGTCAAGCTAACTGTGGAAGGTTTTCATGATTTTCCTCTATGTAACACAAATGCGCGCTAGTTCTATCGAGACCTCCACGGAGGCAAATTCCTCCCTATGCTTGATCCAGGAGTTCCCTTATCTTCTGGATTGGGCTCAAAATTACAAGACTACGAAGTTGAACTTTAGTAGTCGAAAACCCGAAAAATGGGTCGGTTGTTCAACGACAGTTGTAAAATAAAATATTATAAAAATAATTATCAGCCTTTATTTGTTTAACATGTTTATGGCTGCTTATAAATTTTATTTATGTATTTTATTTATGTATTTGGGGTTCCGTCAAAAGATGCTCGGACACTTCGGGTGCTGCAAAAAATTGGGTACCGCTATGCTAAATCTTGATCCTCAAAACATAGAGGGGGTTATTCTTATGCTAATTATTGATCCTAAAAATATAGAGGCATTCTAAAAAATATAGTTCTAATAGTTTATATGACATTTTTAACTATCAAATACTATTCAAAGAAATGTAAAATTATTATTAGCCTGCAAATTGTGTAAAATTTTAAAATTTACATTTGATTTCTTCAGAAAATTCTTTTTAAGAAAACAAAAATAAAGAATGTATCAAAGGAATTTTCCACAAAATCATTGTTTTCACGTGTATAATCAGGGTAAAAAAAGGAAAAAAAACGGAATCGGGGGGAGAAAAAATAAATTCTGTATAAATTAATTAAAAAATTAAACGCCGATAATTTGTTGTAAGGCATTTGATGACCAAAACTCTTAAAAACTTAATTCATTGAGGCGCATCAAAAGCTACTAGCAAGAGACGTCAAGGTTATTTACATAATTGTTTAAATGCTATCTTTTATGGGATATTTTTAGTATGAGTTTTGATATATTTTTTGTGCCTCAACACTGAGAAAAGTTCTTGTTTATAGAACCGAAACTATAGTATGTCCATTTGTGTGCCCTTTTTGTTTTATTATTATGCGCTACACTAAAAAAGAATCTTGTTTATAGAACCGAAACTGTACACACTATGTCCATTTTTAGGCCATTATTTGTGATTTATTTAGGCTGCTTTGTTTTATCCAAGGCCAAAAAGAATATCTCTTTAATAGAACAATTAAAAATGCACAAAAGTACAGTTCTATATAGAACAACAACACAAAAGTATAGCACATAGTATGTAACACAAAAGTTTATCTCTAAGATATCTTCAATAGAGCAAATATTGTGTTTTAGAAAAACTCATTTTATTTGCTTATTAATATAATTTCTTATTAACTTAATTAATCCATTTGTTTATTTATTCAACAAAACACACAATAAGAAACTTTAAAAAAATACAGCTACACTAAATTGCTATACTTCAGAATGCAATTAACATTGCAACGAAGAGAAAAAGAATAATTACCTTTGTTAACTTATATCAGAATCTTTCCATAATCCACAAGCATGAAGTAATATTCCACGCGACACATAAAAAAAAAAGGAAAGTAAATTGAAGATGCACAACAACCATGCACTCGCACGCAACACTTGATTCTGATTGAAACTATAACTTTTGGCGGCAAAAAGATTTTCTTTTCCGTTTTTGCGGCAACCCTCTTTCGCTGGACGTCTCGATGGGGAAACTTTCGCAATGACCGTTGAATTATTACACTCAATTCGGTTCATAATATTACCGAATGAGAATCATATATATTTATAGTATGCGTGTAATTAAATATGGATTCATTATCAGATGTATGCGTGCTTATGCTATATAAAGTTCCTATGAGATCTGAAATTGTTTTTGAGTTCAAATTATTTTCCCTTTCTGAAAATGTCTTTTTAGCATAAAAACTGACCGCGATATTTTTCTGAACATAATGGTAATACTCCTAATTTCTAATCCATAATTGATATCGATATTTATTATTAATATGTTGTTATATATATTTTTACATGTATATAAGTAAATATGGATATATTTTAAAAATACTCATGCTTATGATATGATATAACAGAAATAAAATTCCTATCCAAAAGATATTAATCGCAAATTGTTTTTGAATTCAAATTATTTTCCCTTTCTAAAAATGTCTTTTTAGCATTCTATCATAAAAACTGACAGCGGTATTTTTCTAAACATAATGGTAATAACCCAACTTTTCAATCCCATTTGATGTCGATATTTATTATTAATATTTTGTAATATATATACTTTTACAGGTATATTAGTAAATATGGATACATTTTAAAAATACTCATGCTTGTGATATGATATTACAGAAATAAAATTCCTATCTATAAGATATTAATCTCAAATTGTTTTTGAATTCAAATTTATTTCACTGTCTAAAAAATGTACATTTAGCTTTTAATGTTAAAAATGGACAGTTTTCTAAACATAATGGAAACACCATTTCTATCTAATTCCTGTTTAGTATCGACATTTATTATTAATATTTTGTAATATATTTTTAGGTATCTAAGTAAATAAGGATACATTTTAAAAATACACTTGCTAATGTGTATATAACAGAAATAAAATTCCTAAATATAAGATATTAATCTGAAAATGATTTTGAATTCAATGTCTAAATGATGTATTTTTAGCTTCCTGAGTAAAAAATGGACAGAGGTATTTTTATAAACATAATGAAAACATCCTAATTCTTACAACCACTATTTGATATTGACATTTATTATAATAATTATTTTGCAATATACTTTCTTACATTAGTATACAAATAAGGATACATTTTGAAAATGTGCATGCTCAATTGCTTATGATATGTTATAATAGAAATAAAATTCCTAAATATAAGATATTAATCTGAAATTGTTTTTGAATTCAAATTATTTTCAACTTCTAAAAGATGTATTGTTGAAAATATTGTTGAAATAAATAATTAGACTGAAATATAGAGGGCGGAACACAATTATTTATTAAAGCATAAAGTATGACCAAAAAAAAAGTGAAAAGTATATCGTATTTTTCTGTTCCTTTAAAAGTAAGGAACAGTCTGTGCATGTCTATGCGAACCTACTATTCTTGGTTTTCAGCATCCCCCCTCCCCACCATGTTCTATCTCCAAGGTAATGACCAGTTGCAGATGATGCGACAAGATCTTGTCCCCCTCACTTCAAATGGACAGTTCTCACAACTCCATCTCGCCCAGGTATTAGTTTGAGAACATGAGTCTTTTTCCATATTTGGCGAGGACGAAGCTCTTCCTGGAGAAGTACTACATCTCTCTCTTTTACCTTGGATAGCTTTCTGTGCTTCTAACTTCATGATAGCTTTTCAGATCTAACCAATATTCTTTTGACCATCTATTCCAAAAGGTGATACTAGTTTACCTTATTGTTGGTTGGAAACGAAATTAGTTTTTGACCTACGAGGAAATGTGATGGTGCCAAGGCTTCAATTCGATCATCAATTCCGTATTCGTGCGTTAATGGTCGACTGTAAATGGCCGCTTCAATTTCTACCAGAATTGTGATCAAATTTTCTTCTTCCAAATGTGATTGTCCTATGGTTTTGTACAAACATCTTTTCAAAGTTCCAACCATTCTCACCCACCAATGAAACTGAAGTGTAGAAGACGGAACACAAGTATTTATTAAAACATAAAGTATGACAGCAAAAAAAGAGAGAAAAGAATAACGTATTTTTCGGTTGTTTTAAAAGTAAAGAGCAGTTAGTGCATGTTTATGCGAACCTACGAACGATACTATTCTTGAATCTCAACAGTTTATGAAGATTTTCTTTTAAAAAAAAATTATTTCCACGGCCTGGTTTTGCAAATTATTATCTACTCACAAATTCTTTTGTTTTAGTATTGATACATTATTTACAACCCAACTGCACCTATCTTTAATAATGTAAAACTTAATGTCGCTCTTTATAAAATATAATTTTTTATAAAATAAATTAGTGTTATTTTTCATACCATTGTTCTGATTTTTATAAACTGAATGGAAACAATAAAATAAAACGATGCTATTCCTGGGAGAAAATGACATTGAGTTTGATATAGTGCATCTTATTATGCACCACCATATTAACCAAATCAGAAACTATTTTTTCACAGGAGATATAAATAGGACAAATATAGTGATTTAATTATTTTGGTTTCTTATCTCTATCTGTAATAAATGTTAATTAAAAGATTAAAAATTCTTAATCACCTTCGTGAATTATTATGAATGATAATTATTGTGAATTAATGGATTATTAAGTTTAGAAAAACGTTCTTTTTACATCAATTTACTATTACGAAAAAATATTTTTTTAGGCAACAATCTATTCAATGCATTATTTTTCACACTTTAAATTTCAAATTTTTTATTTTAAAAAGTTATATTTTAATGACTATGAAAATGAAGGGACTGTTTGAAAAGGAAAATTATTTGAAAATCATATTTTCACAAACTTTTTCGGTACTTAAAATAAAAAAATTTTCTGTGCTGAATTTTTTATGTCAACATTCAGCCTTCGAATTTGTTTAGTACGATTGATATTTGGTAAATAAACTCATTTTCTTGCGTTTTGAAAACTACTACTTTTTTTATGTTATTTCATGAAACTGTTTTCATGCGGTTGCTTGAAATAAAACTCACGTCACTCACTTTTAACATTAAATTCAAAGTAGGACAACGTAATGCAGGTGTGACGCACAAAAGTGTGTCTTCCTATGATTTATGCTACACTTCCGTTTGTTGACACAGCAGTGTCGTAGACACCAATATTGTATTTACATTCATTTTCGATTCCGTTTTTCTGAAAAATGTATTGAATTCTAGGCCAAATCATGAAGACTGTTTTTTATAACATTTTATGACATGTTCAATCGTGTTCACATCTATATTTTGTGGATTTGTTTTCTACATCAGGAAACTTTTTTTTAGTTTTATTAGTTTCTGTCTTGTCGAGTGACTAGATAAAGTGACTAACTCTTACAAAACTGTAAACAACAAGGAATACAGTAGAAAGCAAGAGAAAAAAGTATCAAGCACTCTGCAGGGAGCAACAGATTTTGGTAAAATTACCGTACTGCACGGTATTGACAATTCTGATAGAAAAAAAAACATAATTCTGGTTATGAAAAATAATAAATACGGTATTCAAAGTTTTGATTTCATAATTTTTCCGTTCTTTCGGTAATGGTTTACTGGAAATTCTTGTCTTCAAAATTATAATTCTTATTATCACACATTTATTAAAAAATACAAAACTGAAAAATTAAATTTAACCAAATAAAAGGTTTTTATGTCATGCGTTAAAGTATCATGATAAAATTATCCAAATTTGACCATATTCACCAAATTTTACACATATCATGAAACCATATTTTATTTTTATTGCACCAAAATCATTACAGGAATAGTTCACTGCGTAGTGGAAAATGCTAAGCAAGCAAAATTGAAAACTCACAAAAAACCTTTATTACGCAAGAAATAAAACAACTTGAATAAAACATGACATAACCTTCTGAAAAACATTATCACCGAAAGTATTCTCTACACTCCACAACACAAATATAGTCCATACACTCAATACAAATCTAAGCTCTATCCCATGAATATCTAATTTTATATAAACAAACATACATCTAATATCCAATCAAAAACACTTGCATAATGAGGGTAAAAACTACACTATTTATTTCAAAACGTCCGAAATAAATTTAAAAATAACGAAATAAACAGTCTACAGAAAAAAATGAAAAAACACATTTTTTCTCAGAGCATAGAAACTTAAGGCTGTTTTTCGAAAGCTCCATCGTACTATGTAATGATGCTTTTCTGCGAATAATATGCTGTTTTTTATAACTGTTTCGAGTTTGCAACTGTTACTCATAACTGTTAGGTCAAGTTTAGCCCATCTAAAGCCATCGCTGTCAACGCTTATTGTGAAAATGGCGCAAAACGTGAATATGGAGAAAAGCCATAGTTTTGTGAAAATGAAAAGAGTTTGCGGTCTAATTTTTTAATATTTAAAAACTTATTCCAATGCTGCATTACCTGGGCTTATAAAAATTTGCAAAAACTGAGAATACAACAGTTATTTTGATAATTTTCATCTAGGGGAAAAAATATCGCTAAAAAGTCGATTTTAAAAAGAGTTTAATAATATTTCAAATATTAAGTTATTTGTCTGTTCTAAAGCCCAGATAATTCTTCATGGCAAGATTGAGTATTTAGTTTAAAATTAGGACATTGTTTCAAGTGTAAGGCACTTAAAATATGGCTTTTTTATTTACCTTGGCGACAGAGCTTCGATAAACAGCGTTAAACTTTCTATTCTAAATCATTTTCATTCCCCCCCCTCTTTCGAATTAGCGATAACTGATTGGCCATTCTTCTTTCTCGAACCAAGTTCCTTCAAATTTGTTGTTTGGCAATCATTAGCAAAGCGCTTCGGTAGAAATTAACTGAGCTTCTTGATGTTCCTTAAAAAACCAGAAAGGCGGTACATTTTATAATCTTGAAGTTTTAACCACAATTTTATTCACAGTGTTCTAATGTGCTTTGAGTTTTCTATCAGAGTAATTTTTTTTATAATGCTTCATAAA